CCCATCCTTCTAGACTAGGTCACATAAGGAAGTTTAATGTCCACTTGGTACTCTCTTAATTTGTTTTTCACTCAGAGATCTCTAGAAAATCTTGTGAAGTATAGAAGAATCTCCATCAATTGCCCAGAGTGGGCTGACCTGCCCAACAGAGTAGATGGGACTGGCTGCTAATTTGGAAAGAGCCTATTGTTAACCGTGCAGTCTGCTCCTAACAGCATTACTGTGGCACACCTCCACGAGCACCATTCTCTTGGATGGATGGCGTGGCCCCTGGACTTGTGCAACATGGCAGCCTGGATTCCTGTTGAACTGTCTCTTTCTTGGATGGTAATACTTTGCTGTGGCCCCTTTTGCATTTAAAGCAAATGTAAGCATTCTGAGGGGACAGTGCCATTTGGGTAGTTGGGGTCCCACCTCTGCTCTTCAATGCTCTGCCGCCATCACTTTTATTGTCTTCACCCCATGGCATTGCAGCGTCTCTCTTGATAGGGCCTGTTTTCCCCACTAGACTTCTCAAGAGTAGGGCAGAACAGATGACAACGTGGGAGGATGTCCTTTTGTTTTTAGCAGAACACAGGCTGAGTGGAAGAGTGGGGGGAAAGGTCAGGCTTTCTCAAGTGGTTATTGTCTGAAAGCACAAAGCTGTGCCATGTCACTGTGTTGGATGGGTAAGTTTCTACTTAGTAAACCATGGAGTATCCAAGGCTTTGTTAATAGAGACAGAGAGGAATTACTCAGAAGGAAATGAAAAGGACACAGATTTCATGAGGTGCGTTTGACGTGGACTGCTACCTGAAAGAACTCTCTTTTAACTTTCCAATGCCTTTGAGAATGTGTATAATCAAGCTCTTATCAGTAATTAAAGCCACGGTATGAATGAACTCATCAAACTACAGTCCTCTCTGCTCGCCACCTGGGAGTGTGGCAGCGAGGTGATAAGTGGGTGGGTTGGAAGACAAAGAGAGAGTTAACACATGTCGGGTTTTTAAATTGTCAGCAGAGAGCAGCAAAGGGGAGGAAGGCTGTGACGGCAAAGAAGGAAGAGCTCAGGACATTCAGGTGCTGGGTGAGCCAAGGTGATGTTGCCTACTTTATAATTTGGGCAGGGTAGAACGTGTGGACAACTCCTGTGCTGCCAGACGACCTGCATCTAGTGCAGCCATGTATCGGACCCAGCCGAATGCCAGTGTGCTGTTATTACACACATCGTGAGGCTGCTTCCTGGGGGAAAAATGGATAACCAGGTGATTCGCTTACTCATGAGTAGCAGTGAAAACACCTGCTGATGTTCACGGATGAAAAGGGCAATTTAGAACAACTGAGTGATTTTGCTTAGATCATATAACTATGATCTGGGAGGTGGAACCCAGGCGATCTGACTCCAGAGCTCACACCACTCATCTCTGTGGTTATTTGGAGGCCTGGCTTGTCTGTCCTCCTATACTGTATCCTGTCTTCTAGGGAGCCTAGCGTCAAATTGAAGATCACACCTAGCAAGCTACAGAATCTTACAGCCTGTAATTTGGGTGTTAACTTCATTCCTAGCTTCATCTTATGTTTCTTGTCCTCATGTTATTTCTTTCATGATTTCTTCACCAACTTATTCTGAGCTTCATTTTTCTCATTTGTAGGATTTGCATTTCTGTAAGCTACCTCAATACTTTTCAGGCTGAAAAGCAAATAAATAAATACATGAAAATAAAATTAAATGCTAGATTTAAGTTCCTTCAAGGTAAGAATCAATTTTGTTTATCTAAGCATTTTCTGCAGGTCCCAGCTCCAGGACCTAAAAAATGTATCTTAAATTTAGTCGAAGTGAAATCTCCGGATCCTGAGGATTAAGAAGTGTCAGGCATAGGGAAGTGTTCTGTGGTGTGACTGTGCTCAAAATTTCTATGAAGGGGGGTGCAGCAGAAGGTGGTGGGGGTGGTGCCTGCTCTTTTCTTTACCAGAGAGAACAAAATAAAACATTTTGCTGCAGCAGAAAAGAATTCACTTTGCCATCCTCTTTCTGGAGAGCTGAATATTTTACCTTCAGCAACATTCTGAATTTCTTGTGGAGACTCAAAATGGTGTCTGAAAAACTATTTTTAAGTCTTTTAGTTACTCAGGAAAAACCACGGTGCTGACTGCTAACAAGGGATGGAGGTGTCTTTTATTACAGGCTTTCAGGTTTGAAGCTCCTGGGTGTGAAGGAGCAGAATGCAGTGCAAGCCGCCTTCTCAGCTTGCTCCATACTGTGCCCTCCTCTGAGAATAATTTGGGACTTATTTTCTTCCATTGTTAAGCATTGCTTGGTCAAAGCAGACACAAATTGAGTTGAAATGCCTGCATTAATGCTCATTAATGGAATTAGGAAAACAGCCAGGTTTGGTGGGCTCTGGAAGTAGGAGCTTCTGAAAGGGTGACTCTTCCCAGGTTGGCTGGAGAGAGAACAGGAAGATGAGCACAGACAACCATCTGTCAGCACATCCCGCATTGTCTCTTTCTCTTAGAACCCCTTCACTTTCCATTCTCTCTCTGACATAATTTCTCCGTTCTAGCATTTCCAAAATCCTGTGGGCTTTTATTTTTATCCAAAAACATGTCCTGAATATGCACCGTGTATCAGGCACTGTGCTGGATCCTGGGGCAGTCGTGAGACATAGGAAAGTTACTCTGATTGAATACATTTGTCATTTGGAGCATGATTGTTGCTAGTGTTTTGAGCACAGTTGACTGACGGGGTCAGTAAACCCCAAAATAGCAATGCAGAGTAATTTGCATGGGGAATATTGACTTATCATGTATGTATATCTGGGTGAATAGAGAGGAATACAGTGACCCACTTAACACCCTCTGTATTTAGTCTTATGCAGAAATAACTGTATTAGAAAATAGACAGTTGACTGAAATTCAGGTACAATTCCTACCTATATACAGTCAGTATGAACTGGCCTGTCTCTTGTGGTTGTGCAAGTTTGTAGCTTTACGTACAATTTATCAAGATCTCTTCCTCTCTCTGTTTTTTGGTCACTCTTCTCTGTCTCTCAATCTGTCTTTTTTCCCATGTGTCCCTTAAGGAAGGCAATTGCTTTATGTATTTCCTCTTCTTTTGATCTTCTTGTGTGGAGGGATAGAGATAATCCCAAATGTGATAGATGGGAACCATGGCAGTGAGTTCCAGCTGCCCAGACTGCCTACTTTAGGGCCAGATCAGTAAAGGATGTTTTTTTTTTTTTTTTTTTTTTTTTTTTTTTTTTTTTTTTTTTTTGGCATGGATGGAAAGAAGCTAGGATGTAGGATGGAAAAACCTCTAAGCTCTGATTAAAATCAAAAGAGTATTTGTGGGTAATGAGTTGCAAGTAATAGATTGTAAAGTCTCTTCTTTTAAAGGGTTTACACTATTAGGAATAATATCTGCATAAGCTTCAATCACACAATAATCAGGAGTTTAATGCACACTGTTTGTTTGTTGATCAGTGTTTTGGCAGGAAAAGGATGAGACACTCAGGGTGAGCTGAAGAGATGGAAGGGGTAAGGAAAACCAACAAGGAACGGTGTTGAGGAAGGAGACCCTTAATCACCCTTAAGCATCTAAGACCACCTCCCCCTTGACATCCACATTGCATTTCAGTAGGAGAAGTAAAGGCTGGCAGACCAGGCACCACTTTTAATCGCCCTCCTACGGATGGCAGGCATGGTATGGAGGAATGTTTCCAGAAGGCACTGTTTTTACTTAAACACGATCAAACCCCTACCTAAGTCAGGTACCCCATGCCTACTCCATGGACCAAGACCCTTTCATGTGTAATTTCTAGAGTTGTGAGGCTTTATAAGGGCAGGGATTTTCTTTGTTAAGAGAGCTCAGCTATTTGGGGCATTCAGACTCGCCGCAGCTCCCAGCCAAATAAATCACCACATCCTTCCCAGTTTGGCATTTGAGAGGTTTGTTTTATAGCCTTTCCTTTCCTAAGATGTTATCACACTTAGCCCTAAGAGGTCAATAGGAGGAAGGAGTTACTGAAACCTAGAGAAAGTAGAGGCTAGCTGGGCACAGTGGCTCACGACTGTAATCCCAGCACTTTGGGAGGCCAAGACAGGTGAATCATGAGGTCAGGAGTTCAAGACCAGCCTGGTCAAGGTGGTGAAACCCTATCTCTATGAAAAATACAAAATTAGCGGAGCATGGTGGTGGGTGCCTGTAATCCCAGCTACTCGGGAGGCTGAGGCAGGGAATTGCTTGAACACGGGAGGCAGAAGTTGCACTGAGCCAAGATTGTGCCACTGTACTCCAGCCTGGGTGACAGAGGGAGACTCCATCTCAAAAAAACAAAAAAAGAAGAAAGAAAGAAAGTAGGGGTTATCCGGTAGGAGCTGTGGCCTTTGAGAGAGAGAGAGAGAGATCTTGCTAGGAGTCCAAAACATACTCTGACCTCACTCTGACTTCTTCCTGGTGCTTCCTATTGGCTGAATTCACTAGAAGCCAGATGCCAAGGATTTCTGTTAATTCAACTGATAAAGTCATCCCTCTGGAGCACCAAACAGGATGGAGAAGGGTGGAGGGTAGCTCTGGAGTGGCAAAGAGGAAAATATCTAGTGGTTGGTTCATAAAGGAGCAAAGCGATATCGCAAAATGGCAATTAGATTATAACTGGGAAGATGTGAACTTTAGTATTGACTTACCGTTTACTAGTCAGTTGACTTTGGGAAACACTTCATCCTGCTGAACCTCAGTTTTGACAGCTATAACATGGCAAGAACTAGCCCTTGCCTTGCTATACCAAATGAGTGATGAGGTAATACTTTTAGAACAATGCTGTTTGAAGAAAGGGGCCATTATGAAAATTCATTGTCAACACGTCTAGCATTTAATCCTACCTATTCTGTGTTGTGTAGATATAAATCAAGTCATGGTGAGCTCCTCAGATTTTATCTGTGGCTTTGTTCCAAGGCAGAAAAAACAAACCTACATTGACCTCAGATGTGCTTCCATCTTGGCTGTAATTTGTGCTCCATAGGTAATCAAAATACTTGTTTGATGTGAAAAGGAAGTACACCAACTGAGCCATTCAGGGAGAATTGAAAGGTTAACTCCACCGCATGCCTCTTTTGAGTACATGGAAGACGGTCTTTGAAATGGGAGCATCATATACCTCTCGGCTCCATTAAGGCTGAGGAGACCATGCATGTAGACCATGCATGGGTAAGTCCTCTCTGTGTTTAAGATTTTAATTCAATAGTCAGGCTTCATCTCTAGGAATTAAAAACTTTTTCTCATCTTTTATACCTCAGTGCATTTGAGACCTATTAGGGTATCTGCATCACCTATGACCCTTCTCTGAATACTGACTCAGAACACCATGGCAGCCATGTTGTTACTATGGGACTCAACAGACAAAGATGGTGAACACCTGGCCCTGTGGCCTCTCAGCTAGGAGGCCAATCCTTTGCTAGATGTTTGAGCTTACGTCAAACTTGAATGCTGGGATGCAGTCATCTTCCGCCATGTTTGTAGAGGAAAGGAGGAACCAGTCTACTAAGAGAGACTGGGGCAGATGTAAAGGAGATGAGGTATAAGAGACACTGGAAAACCCACAATAGTGAGGGAAGGGATACAGTGTGAAGTAAGGGCATGAGAATGAGAGAGCCCATCTCCTGGTTCTTGAAGGCTTTATATGTCTCAGTTCCTGTCGGTTTGCAAGGCCTGACCACAGCGAGATTAGCTCGTCCCCAGCAGAGCTGTGTAGAGGAGTTTTCTGATATTTGTAGCTGTAAGAACCCTAAGAAACACAGGCTTATAGGTAATGGACACCCCTGGGAATGTGGAAACGGGCCTGGGAAAACAACCAATGGGCCTCTTTCCATCCAAAGAGCTTTGTTTCCTTCCCTTGGTACCTTCAGAGGAAACCCTGTACCCAGAAAATTGATAGTCATGGCCAGTGGCTGTAGGGTAGAGGAGTGGGGGGGAGGGGTGGGACTCTTCAGGGGTGTGAAGCAGGAAATATTCCCTGCTGGAAACATAGAAAACCTCCAGTCCAGTGATTCTTCCAGTTTCACAATTACATGAAATTACCAATAAAAAGCCTTCCTGCTATAAAACAGTGTGAACTTATCTACCTCCTGAGCATATTTACCATCAACAGCTTTAGAGTATCAATTACATTCCCCACACATTACTTCAGCCTCTCTTTTAAACATCCACACTTATGACTTTGTACACTCAGAGCAACAACAGAAATTATCCTTTAATTAAGCAAACCAGCCCCATACCTTTTTCAAGCACATGTGCACTTTTACACATGTCAATTGCAGAAAGGCCTCATGGGGTTTGCACTTGTTCCAATACAAGTCATTTATTTGCACCATCGTTATTTTTCCTAATAATTCCGTATGTGTTTATATACTTTCTGGTTACAAGGCATTTTCTCAACTGACTTATAGATTTGTATCATGAAGTACCTGCAGCTGAGATTATTCATTCTCTTTGATATTCATCTTAGCAATGGTATCTTCCACTTATAAAGGCCTTACACTACGATGGACATTGTGCCAAGTCTTTTCCAGGCATTTTCTTATTTTAAGCTTCCCCAAGGCTGATGAAGTGGGTATTATTTGTCACATTTACAGATTAGTAAACTGGGGTTGAGCAACTTGTCAAAAGGCCACATAGCTGCTTATTGGTGGAGTCAGGGTTCAAACCTGGGCCTGAAGGGTCAATTCTCTTAACCACTATTTACCTGGCCAGCTTGTTTTCCTTTAACTTACCGTTTCTAGTCTTCTAGGCTAAGCAAATGTTTCATTAAAAATGATTTTCTCAATAATAACAGTTGGCACATATTGATTATCCACTCATTCATGATTCATTTAACACACTTTCATTAGCTGCCTTTTATTGAATTTGCATTATAGAATATTTTTCTTATTTTATTTATAAGTTTTTTACAACAAATTGCTAAGAGGTTACTATTCTCATTTTATAGAAAAAGAAAACAAACTGTCAAAGATTGTCTTGCACCAGGTTGCTAAGTAATGGGGAATATTGGATTTGAATCCCAGATTATACCATCTGACTTCACAGCCTATGCTCTTTCCATCCTATTAAAAAAAATGGGAACCAGGAATGGTTCAATGACTTACCTAGATCTTCTAAGACTCAAACTGGCCTCTCTGTAGTCCTTTTCCCATTAACTCCAGAAACTCCTCATTCTGTAAAGAAACTACCTCTTTAGAAATGAAATGGAATGGGCCAACGATGGCACAAATACAGGGCCGTATGTCTAGTGAGAGGACACAAGAATGTTCTTGGATAGGAAAGGTGGGATGGTGTGGAGTGGAGGGAAAATGGAAAGAGATCCCCAAAGAGGTAAGAAAAAGATATAAAAGTAATAGGAAGACAAGAATGGGAATAAAGCGTCTTGAAACATGCAGGCTAAGAAGTGTCAGTGAGTCAGCATGAATCAGAGAATAGGATTGAGGGTGACAGAGGTTAGGTCAAACAAGCAATTTCTTCCATGGTTTCACTGGGGGCTAGAAATAAAAACCCCATTATTATCCAAACACAACACTAACATGAAGAGGTGAAATAATTTATCCTAAATAACAGGCTGACCTACTCAGAATTGTAATTTTAATGTAAGACTAACCTTTGAAAATAGATCAAGTGATATAAATTATTAAGGAGAAGACATTCATCAGATAGATGGTGTCTATTAGTAATTTTATGCATGAAGAGTCATCCCCTAAAAGTACAGTTGCAGCTGCTTCTGCACAGAAAAAAAAATGATGAACCCAGTTACCCTTTTGTGACATGTTCCGCTGATTTTAATCAGTATTTCTCCTGTCAAATGAAATGAAAAGACTGAAATATGATCTCTCCTGCGGATGTACACTCTCTGCCTCCCACCTCCTTCAAAGCACCAAGGATCTGGAGACACACATTTCAAGAAGTTTTTTTTTTTTTCTTTCTTTCTATAGGGGGAAAATATCTAAATCAGTTGGTAAAACCACCAAACATTTACTGATAATCTTCTAGCTATCTAGCACTGGGCTGACTGGGGTAGGAGGAGGCAGAAAATCTAAGACAGTTCCCATCCTCAAGGACTTTAGCATAAAGACGTGGAAAAAATCTGAATTACGTGTAACTCTGCTATTCCATTCACAGCTAAGTGAGTCTGGGCAATTCGGTGAGCCTCTCTGAGCCTCAGTTACCGTGTCTATAAAATGGGGATGACACTGTTACCTATCTCAGGGGGTTGTTATGAAGAGTCGCAGAGTTATGTCTGGAAAGAACAGCTCTCAGGAACTGGCATATATTCAGCTATATAAAGAACTATATAAAGATAGTTCATTGTTATCTCTGTTCCTGTTTCACCACTGTCTCAAATTGGGGTGAGGATTGCTTTGTTTCCCACACCACCATCAGCTCTGTTCCTTTAGGTATTTAGGGTTCAGCCTTTCTCTCAGGAAGCTGTAGGCTGATGATGGGCACCCCAAGGCGTTGAGGAAGAGGTTGCTTGTGTGAGTTGGATGGCAATGGGGCAAAGTCTCAGAGCCCAGAGAGGTGACAGTCCTGCTGGCTGCAGTAGTCAGTGGCAGTGCTCAGCAGGGGCTCCCCCAAATGGAGACTGGGAAGTCAGTAGTTCTGATTTGGCTCCCTCTGGGCTCCAGGGGCAGGAAAAAGATTGGTACTTTCTCAAAGGGAAGCTTGGTCTGCACGATGCTGCAGCCAGTCACCCTCAAGTGGTTCCTCCAGGCCCATTCCCTTCAAAATGCCAAGCTCGACTCACACCTGCCCCACAACATACCATCCTCCCCTTTCCTCTTTAGTCCATTTAATCCTTATTTAGAGGATCACTAGTTGTAGCAATTTCTCCTTCAAATCTATTTTCTTAGGGCACAAACTTTGTCCCTAATCATTCAGGGACATCAAATAAATATCAAAAAGCCTGGCTCTTATGACTCAGAAGGTGGAATAGAGAAACTCAGAAACAAGTTCTCTGCCTTGCTGCCCTCTCAGCCATCCCCAAATGCAAAGCATACCTCAGGGTACATGGTGGCCGTGGTGGGATGTTTGTAGGGTGTGAAGAAATTGGGAGGGTACGTTCTGTTGATACCTCAAAATGTTATTCTCCAAAACTATTGGTCCCTTCTCCTGCTTCTTCATCCTCTTCTCTTTTAATGATGATGTTAATGATGAGGAGTAAGAGGAGGCCCATTTTAAAAGAAGAGTAAGTAGGTTTAGAAAAGTGAATATTGTGTCAATTGGGTGTTCCAGGAAAGAGATGTTGAGACTGAGATAGGAGCAGGAATGGTTGGTGACTGCGAAAGGTATAAGGAAAGGAAGCTGATGGGTCAGGGCAAGCTGTCAGATCAGCACGCCAACCTAATGCCTATGGAAGGAAGAGAGAGAGGGAGCAGGATTTGGGAGAGTGACAGCCTCAGACCACAGTGCATATCTGATGTGTGGAGAGCTCTAGAACAAAGATGACCCAGTAGAGGAGCCCCACGTTGAGCAGAAATGGCAAGGCCCTAGGATCCATGCCATGTTCAATCACTGGCTTCCTTCAAAAGGCATGGCCTCAGCTTCAAAGCTGAAGCAGATCCAGAGGTGCTGCTGTTGCTGGGTTTTGGGGTGCAGGGGAGGCACGGCTCCCCTGAGAGGATGTTTTTCCAGGCTCTTGGTCTCTCATTTACCCATGAATGGGAGAGGGGACCACAGCGGGTGTGGTCATAAGAAAATGTTGGACCCCAAAGAGTTTTTGCAGAAAAGTGATTTATTTAGGCAGAGAGAAAGAGAGAAACAGCTATCTCTCACACTAAGTGAGAAGAAGGAAGAGCCGCTCTCACACTGAGTGGGAAGGGTTCCCAGAGGGGTAAAACCAGGGAGGAAAAGCTGCTCTCACACGGAGTGAGAAGGGTTTCCAGAGGGGGAAAACCAAGAGCGAAAGCTCCTCTCACGCTGAGTGAGAGAATCCAGAAAGATCGAATCCAGGGGAGAGAAAGCAGCTTCCACGAAGACTGTGGAAGGGGAGCCCAAAGGGGGAAATCCACCCAGATGAGGGAGGCAGGGACTTTTAACCTGGGAGGAATTCCCACTTTCTCCAAGCCCCTGGCCAATGAAAAGAGTTCCTTTAAACTTCTGCTGGAGTGATTGACTTTGGGTCCTTTCCGGAGAGTGGAAAAATTAAAACAAAGACCTCTAAT